CACACACACACACACACACACACACACTCGCGCACACACACACACACACACACACATGTTATGCCTGCTCTCCATTATAAAAGTCGGTAAACTTTTATATTTGTGATTTTTTCTTTACTCTCTCAAAAAACAATAATTCTTTCGACGTTTACCTGATGAGAAAATGTTTTGATAGCACCTGTAAAAATATGCGAGTTAGATATTTTCTCCTTTCGGCGCTTATACGCGCAAAAATGTGTCGACTGCACCTTAAAAAAAAATTTGCTATCTTTGCCTTTCTAGGCTGACATGGCAAAAATGTGTCGAAAAGCTCTGGTTGAAAAAAACAATCCTCTAACTATATATGTTATTATTATTATTATTATTATTATTATTATTATTATTATTATTATTATTATAGATTCCTTTTCTTCTTTTGTCTCTTTTAGGAACAAAATGTGTCGATAGTGCCGTTAAAAAATTCTGCAACTAGATCTATCTATTTTCTTTTTTTTCTTTCCTTGTGCAGCGGATGACAGCTGCAAAGACGTCGCCCCGAACTGCCCGGATTACGGAATAAATGCTTGCTCTGGTGTCTACAAACCATGGGCAGAGAAGAACTGTCAGGCCTACTGCAAACTGTGTCCCACGAGTGAGTGGCCTACTTACTATGATGGACACTACTTACTGTGGTGGACACTACTTACTATGTTGGTGGTGGTGATGTTCTTGATCTTCTGTTTTCATTGTTTATTCATGTCGTTGTTTCCTTGTTGTTGTTGTTGTTGTTGTTGTTATTGCCGTTGCTATTGTTGTTGATGTTGTTGTTGTTGTTTTTGTTGTTATAATTCTTGGCGGGGGGGGGTTGTTTTGTTGTTGTTGTTGTTATTGTTGTTGTTGTTGTTGTTGTTGTTGTTGTTGTTGTTGTTTTGGGGTCTTTTACTGATTCTGTTAAACACACTGAAGATTACTTCGACAAAAAAACAAATAGCCATACTGTATCTGATAATAATCTCACTGTGAATGTTGGAGATATTCTGCTCCACTATAGGCTCTGTTTCAGGCAAAAGAGGCAGTTAAAGACCAAGAATATAACTTATTTAAAGAGCTTAAACTGATGGTTGACCACTCACTTCTGTTTCTGACATTAATCCCCCCCCCACCATGAAATGTTTCTGTTTTGAGACTGACCGAAATGTTTCAATGTACTATGCACCGCCATGAAATGTTCCTTTTTCTTACCATCACCATGACGAA